GATGGGACGTTGACCTGGTCCAGTCCAGAAGGCTCCTTTTCATATTAAGATATATTCTCTTTATTCAAAACAACAGGAGAATGTAGGGCTGCAGTCACAAGAGATGGGAGGTCCCTGTTCTGCATGCGGGTGCTGAGCACCTCTAGAGTTCAGGCTAGGTGCTGGGGCAGGTCTCACCTGCAGGCTCAGGCAGTCAGGAGCCCCCCAGGCAGAACCCAGGAGAGGGTCATCTAAGAAGAGTCTCTCCCAGAGCCAGGCAGTCCCAAAGTGTCGGTTGAGTTCTTATGAAGGCAGAATGGGTATTATTACTATTACTATTATTTATTGAATTTATACACCGCCCTATACCTGGAGGTCTCAGAATGGGCATTATGTCACACCTGCAGATTGAAGCAGATTGAGTGGGCGCATGTGCAGTAAATATGGTTAATACGTAAATGATAAAACAAAAAGCTGTCCATTAAAAGGCTGGCCCAACCGTCCTGTATCCTTGCTTCCATTACTTTAAAAGCACACCAATATTAATGCCAATATTATTGCAATAACAGTGTATTAACAATGCTAACATTTAGATTAGCTTTAGATTGGCATTGTGGTTTTTGTGATTGAAAGCTGCTTTAAACTGTTGGGCTTGCTGATCGGAAGGTCGGCGGTTCGAATCCCCACGACAGGGTGAGCTCCCATTGCTCTGTCTCAGTTCCTCCCAACCTAGCAGTTCGAAAGCACACCAGTGTAAGTAGATAAATAGGTATGGCTGTGGCGGGAAGGTAAACGGTGTTTCCGTGTGCTCTGGTTTCCGTCACAGTGTTCTGTTGTGGCAGAAGCCGTTTAGTCCTGCTGGCCACATGACCCGGAAAACTGTCTGCGGACAAACACCGGCTCCCTTGGCCTGAAAAGCGAGATGAGTGCTGCACCCCATAGTCGCCTTCGACTGGACTTAACCATCCAGGGGTCCTTTACCTTTTTACCTTAACCTGCCCTTGGACTTTAGACTGATGATGATGATAGAGTCGAACTCTCCAGTCTTTCTGAGCCATTCTCCCCCTGTATTAAGAAATATAGCCTCTCTTGGCTGCTGTGAGGCCAGTCGCTGGAACCTCTTAGAATCATATGATTGCAGAGTTGGAAGGGACCCCAGTGGGTTATCCAGTCCAGCCCCTGCAGCTGCCTTTCCCCCATCTTTTTCAGAGCTGCCTTGAACTTGCCCTCCTCCTTTTCCAATTAGCCTTTTTTCTCAACTTTGCCCTGTGCCTTCAATTCGCCCTCCACATTTGGGAAACCAAAACCCCCTTCTCCCAGGTCCACGGTTTACCTTCCCGCTGGAGTGGTACCTATTTATCTACTTGCACTTTGATGTGCTTTCGAACTGCTAGGTTGGCAGGAGCTGGGACCGAGCAACGGGAGCTCACCCCGTCGCGGGGATTCAAACCGCCAACCTTCTGATCGGCAAGTCCTAGGCTCTGTGGTTTAACTCACAGCGCCACCTGCGTCCCTGCATGGGCCTGGTACAGGGGGGCTCTTCTCATGTTCCTGCAGACTGGAAGGCAGAAAGGAGGAGGGAATAGCTGGCTTGGCATTGCAGCTGTAGTATCGGCATGGCCTGGAAAATACTTCTTGGAAGGGACATGGCTTTGGTGGGGGTCGTGAAGGACGCCTTCCCATTGGGATTTAATGCTCTGCCACTGCTCTCCCCGAGGGCCAGACGACTTATTGAGAAGAGGTGGTTGGATGAAAGCCATGTCAAGAAGGGCAGATTGTAGGCAGGCCAGTTGGGTGTTGTCGGGAGAGCGAGATTAAGTGCCATGCAGGCTTATGTACACACTAGAGAACCCAGGGCAGGGCAGGACTCAATGAGCTAGTGATGCATCGCTCAGCTTCGGAAATGAGCCGAGGCGCCGGAGAGAAGGAAGCTCTGGTGAAAATCTCTGGTGACCCAAAGTTCACAGGGTCCCAAGTTCACGAAGGCTGTGACCTCACCTTGGCATCAGCCTGGCTGGGTTCAAATGCAGAGACTTGCCCAATGACTGGGCTGTGAACAGCCAGATGCAGTCATCAAGGTAACTCACTCTCTCTCTCCACCTCCCCAATGTCAATTTGCAGACAACAAACAAAACATTACCATAGTGGTGTCAGAGACTAGAAGGACAAAAGCCCTTGGGCTTCATTGCTTTCTGGATTCATGTGGGTTCAGGACAGGTCAGTTTTTATTCACACAACGCAGAGTGTTAAGCTATGGAACTCCCTTCTGCAGGACAGATTTAAAAGAGGGCCGGGCAAATTCATGGAGGAGGAGAGGGCCGTTGGTGGATCCTAGCCGGACGGCTCTGCTGCGTCTCCACATTTGGAAGCCAGAATGTTTCTGAATCCCAGTTAGTGGAAACCACAGGAAGGGATCTGGTTCTGGTGCTTGGATCTCACAGGCATCTGGTTTGCCACAGTGAGAAGAGGATACTGGAGTAGACTGGCCTCATCCTGCAGGCTGTCCTTAGGCTCTTATTTGCCAAGCGCCATAACTGTTTTGCTGATTTTCCCCCAAAGAGGAGGCAAACTGGCCAATGAGATCCCAAGGAGTTGTTTTGCAAAATGAATGTTCCTTTCCCCTCCTTCTCCAGGTTCACCTGCAGATTTAAGACCCTTTGCCAAAAGGGGGTACTGGCAGCCTCAGACACACTGAGTGGCAGTCCCAGCCAGTCTCAGGGCTGCAGTTAACTGGGATGAGGGGAGCAGCAAGGAAGACCCCCACCTGTGGCCATCAGCAAAAATAGAAGGTGCATTTGCACAGAAACCAAAGATGTAAAAATCCTTCTTGTTGAATCCAGAGTCTGGAATGTAGGCAGATGACTGATATTGATTGGATCAGTAGAGGAGTAATAATAATAATAATAATAATAATAATAATAATAATAATATTTTTAAAGAAAGCAAACTCGGCATTTTTAATACGAAACAAACAAAACATTTGCTTATGACAAAACGTTGCGCAGCCCAAATTGTCCACCAGGTGGGGTTACAGGGCAAAGAGTGGACTGGGAGATCTGTAATCGCAAAGGGCCAAAGCAGCTGGACTTGGGGGCTGGATTGGGGCCGGGCCATTTCCACCTGCCCTGCACAGACCCCGGAGGCTGCGGAAGAGCCCTGCTTTGGGGCTGGGGGTGAATTGATGTCGAGACAAAACAATCTCCTCCTTTGTGGGACATCACTTGAATTTGGGGGATACAAGTCAACCCTTTTAGGCTACCTTTGTTTTGAGAAGGCAGTGAGGACGACTGAAGGAGCAGGGTGGGGGCCGCAAAGCCATATGACCCCTCCAGTCTCATGGATTGACATGATTTCCAGCACAGGCCCTGCTGAAATCAATGGGAGTTGCTCAAAAGCAGAAGTTTGCCGATTTCAAAGCTGGGACTCTTTGCAGTGGGGTTTGTGCAGGAATCACAGAGTTGGATGGGGCCTCTCAGGGTCATCCAGTCCAACCCCCTGCAATGCAGGAATCTCAGCTAAAGCATCCATGGCAGACGGCCAAGAAGGACTTCCCACCGCTGTTGTGCTTGGGGGCTACAGTTCTTTGGCATCTTGTGTGTGAAACTCTTTCTTGACTTTCCTGTGACTGAGCCCCAAAACAAAAGGGAAAGCAAAACAGCTTGGAGCAGGGTGGGGCAAGATCACACCCCCCAGCCCAGTCTTAGGCTCTTTAGTCACTCTCCCACTTGGGGGCACAGTGGTCAAGCAGATCTCCAAAACTGCTGTGATCCCAAATCAGCCCCCATGAACTGTTGCTTCCTGGGTCTCCTTTCTCACCCGTATCCTTGGCTCTTCCTCTCCCCAGCTGAGAACCTGGACCTGCTATGGAAATCTGCTCATGGGCAGTGGGCAAGATCCACTGCTGCCTTGGGAAATGGACAGGCAAACCTGTCTTGGGCTTGAGATTGCTGGAGCTGGATTTGGCCGCCACTCACAGAGGGCCACAGACGCTGCCTGACCAATTGGCTCTCTTCTTGAGAGGGTGGGGGCGCTAGAGAAAACCGTGAAGTTGGCCTCACCGACCATCTGATTGGTTGGTGTTAAACACACAAGACTGTGGTGCTGTGTCTCTGGGTCAGGAAAGAAGAGATTTCTCCCTTGCTTTCAGATTGCAAGTGTGCGTTTTGGTAACGCACTGGCTGCATTTGTTTTAAACTGTGTACATGATGCTTCTGCCACAAATCCAAGACTGTTTACAAGTGAGGCAATCCAGTTCCTGCATTGCAGAGGGTTGGACTAGATGACCCTTGGGTCCCCTTGGAACTCGACAGCTCTGTGATTCTGTGAGGTCACCTTTGAGCCTCTCTTGAGCTATGATGGGGCTGTTAAGGCAGAAGGGGAGAGGCAGGCCAGGGCTCTGGGTCTGTGTGCCTGGGGTCTTGTGTGCTTTCTAACATTACATTGCAAAGCCACATTGGCAAAGGTCTCTCCTGTGAGCCTCGGCTGTGTCCGAAAAGCCTCTGCTTTGGGCTCTTAATTCATCCTGAGCCCGTGGACTCCACAAACACAGCTGACCATCAGAACATCAGGAGACCTCAACTGGGCTGGGCCACAGAAGACGCATCTTCTTGAAGTCCACAATACTGCAAAACAAAGAAGGCAACTGAACCCCACTCCCCCTTTGAAACCCCTCCACAGCAACAGGTGGGGCCTTCCTGAAAAAGCCCCACTGGGGAGACCCCAATAGAGAAAGGCTCTGTTGACTCCTGAGCCTCTTGGGGGCTGCTCTGCCCACTCCCACTCCCCATTCTTGCTGATGGAGAAGGTCATCAAGCCCCCTGCCAAAAAGCAAAACCAAATCAGTATGGATTGTTTTATGTTTGCACCCAGGCCCTGTGTGCAGCTTCAAGCTAGGCAGTGTGGTGCAGTGGTTAGAGTGTTGGACCAGGACCTGGAAGAGACCAGGGTTCAAATCCTCCATGAAGCTCACTGGGTGTAACCTGGGGGTGGGGGCAGTCACTGCCTCTCAGCCTAACCTTCCTTGCAGGGTTCCTGTTGCTGTGGGGATTAAATGAGGGGAGGGAGAACCACAAATGCCACCTTGAGCTCCATGGAGGGATACAACCGCAGCAAGTAAATGAGCAATGTTGGCCCTGGAACTGGCAAACGGCTGGCATCTAGGAAACAGAGGCAGCTGCCTCAACAGCACGATGGGCCAGCCTCTGTTACCTGCCCTGACTTGTGCTTTTCCTTCTGGCTGCTAGGGAAAAACAGAGACCAGCGTTCTTGGGAGTGGCATTCCGGTGGGCTAAGCATGATGTGCCTGAACAAACCCCCAAGAAAGGACCTTTTACCAGGGAGCTGGACCCCTGAGATGTATTTTAGGGGTTAAAGGGAGGGGAAAGACCAATCTGTAGACCACTCTGATTGTGCATTGACTTTCTCTCCAGAATTCCATCTCTGTCGCGATGCTGCAGAGTCCCTTTCCATGACTTTTGCTCAAGGTCCACCAGCGTGGATCTTGCCAGCGTGGGTTGTCTCTGCTGAAATGCAAGGGGCGTTTGTAGCAGGGCAGTTCCGTTTCTCGAAGGGACTTTCACTCATACAAGCCGTCCCTGGCTATTGTTGTCCCTCCGTGATCAGTGTGGACTTGGGACCCCATCTGAAGACCTTTGTTGATTCAGGCACTTTAGGGGCACCTCACTCCTCTCTGCCAGGTGCCAAATCCCCATGGGGGGAGGGTCTCCAGTGAGCCTCTCACAGCTGTGCATTCAAGGTTCGGATTTGTGGGGGCAATCATCATGTTTGGTGATTTATTTCCTGGGTGCCTAAAAGCAAAGATGGCACAGTGTGCCAGAAAACGTAATATTAAAAGAACAGCAAAAAGAAAACGTTATTGTGAAATGCAATAAAAAGTTGACAGCCCCCCTCCTCCATAAAAAGCACCCAAGAAACCCCTAATTGTGGGCTTAGGATCTAAATCTGGGTGACTCTAACACGCAGTCCGGATCCCGCCTCTCCAGCTGGCTACCTAAGTGAGGGAGCTACTGAACCAGCAGACTTAGATTAAAACAAACATGTTTCAGGTGCATTTAAGGTGTGTTCCTTTGTTTGTTTGTTTGTTTTAAAAGTTGGTTCTGTAAAATAGTTGGTCCATCTATTACACTACACTACCTAATGTTATAGAATTAAGCCGATTGTACTGCAATGGTACCGCCAGTTGTTCTGCTGTATAATCATGAATCTAAGGGGGTGGAACGGGCTCCACCAAAGCTTATGCCACAAAAATGTGCCACTTTCTAAGGTTCCACCAGATTGCTGCACAGCGCTGCCCCCCCCCCTCACGCGGGAAAGACTCGTGTCCTACCTGTGTTCCTTACCCCTGAAGGGAGCCTTACCTGGCTTCCCAGGTGCTTCCCAGCCAGGCGGATCCAGAAAGTGCCCAGAGTCAGGCGTTTTTGCAAAGCGCGTTAGTTTCTCCTGCACAAGACACCCCTCCAAGAAACAGCCCCCCTCTTGCAATGAACCGGAGGTGCCTGCAATGCCTCTTCTCCCTCTCCCTCCTGCCCCTTGCGCAGGAGATCTTCCCATGAGATGCGGGAGAGGATGGTCGGTTTTCCCCGTATCTCCTGAGATAGAGACCTGTGTTGAAGCAAAGAACTGTTAAGAGGTGAATGCCTCCCCGCGACTCGCGCGCCACTGCCCTCTTTCCTCTCCCCCGCACCCCAGAAAATAAAAGCATAAGCGGTGGAGGGTACGGACCCTTCCGTGATGGAAGTTTGGGGCGTCCTTTTGGCTTCTGGGCGACAGGGTCGAAATGTAGCAACGACTGGAGGGAGCTCCTGTGGCCGGCGGCGGCCCTGAGAAAAACGGCTCCTCTTCCTTCGCCTTCGGTCGGCGGCGCTTCGCTAGAGACCGTTTCCTTCTCCTCCGCCACTCAAGGGATGGGGGCCACCCGGCGCACCCTCGGTGGTCCGTTGGTGGTTCCCGCCAGGGACGCTCCGGTCTCCCCTCGGGAGCTCGGCCGGCTCTCCTCTCTCGACGGCAGCAGCAGCAGACGGGATGGGCGGCAGGTTGGGGGGTCCATGTGCTCCGTCGCCGTCTTCTGGCCGAGGGACGGCCCCACTCCGTGGCTGACGGACTCTCGGTGTGCTCTTCTCTCCGCAGGGACGGAGCGCCGACGGCTGGCGGCGGAGGGCGTCCAGCAAGGCTCTTCGGCGCGTCTCTCCCGGCGGGCCCGCGGCCAGAGCTGGCACGCTCCAGCGCCCGGCCTCCTGCCCCCCTCCCGTCGTCGCAGTCGCCCCCGCCTCGAAGGGGAGGGAGGAGGGGCTCCCCCCCGCCCGCCGGCAGAGTACCGGCCCGCGCCGCCTCTATATAAACACCCGCCGGGGCTGTTCCCCGCAAACTGGCGCGGCGCGAAGCGGCTCCTCCTCCCGACAGAGGCACAGTGCTGGAAAGTGGCTGCAGCAGCAGCGCCGACGCCGTTGCCCTCCCCCCGTCCGCCCGTTCTCCTCCTCCTCCTCCTCCTCCTCCTCCCCCCGAGCCCGGCCCAGCCTAGCCCAGCCCGGCCCCCGGCAGAGGCGCTCAAGAGAGCCGCTCAAGTTGGACGGAGCGACACCCGCAGCCAGCCGCCGCCGGGCGCAACACAGCCGTCCTGCTCCGGAGAGCTCGCTGCGCCTTCGCTTGGGCTTTGGAGACGCGTCTGCCTTTCGCTCAGTTCCTCCGGGCCGGTTTTTTCCCCGCCCTCCTCTTCCTCCTGCTGCTCTGCTTCTCTCCCCCCCACCCCCGTTTGAGTCAAACAAACAAGCAAACAACAAACAACAACCACCCTGCAGTCGTTATTTATATTCCCCCCCTCCCCGTTTTTTGGTGCAAAACAAACAGAAACCCCTTTCCTCGTTATTTGAGAGTTTCTGTGAAGTTTTTTTGGCGCAAGCCCGCCAGAGTTTGCAGCAGCAGCAGCAGGAGAACTGGGAAGAGTCGCTTTTGGGGACCGGAGTTTCTTTGAGGTTCTTTTTGCCCCCTCCTCGCCTTTGATACTCCCCCCTTTTTCGCATTCTTTTATAAGTGGGGAGGAGCTGCTTTTATATCTCTCCCTCCCCTCCCTCCCCTCCCCAATCTCTCTAAAAGCCACAAATTGCCCAGAGCCGGGGCGCATTCGTTCCCCGGCGCGCCGCTCCGACGACTCTCTCTTTCTCTCTCTCTCTCCTTCCCCCGCCGGCCCGGTGCGCGGCTCGGCAGCTACCTCCCGGGGGGCGCCCCCCACACTCTCCTCAGAGGAAGCAGCGCCACCGGGCAAGATGCTTTTCCAGGGCTTCGACCTGCTCTCGGCGCTGGCCACCGTCGTCGCCTGCCTGGTCTCGGTCACGCTCCTCCTGGCCGTCTCGCAGCAGCTGTGGCAGCTCCGCTGGGCCGCCACGCGCGACAAGAGCTGCAAGCTGCCCATCCCTAAGGGCTCCATGGGCTTCCCGCTCGTCGGAGAGACCTTCCACTGGCTCCTGCAGGTAAGCCCGCCGGCGTCGGGGGGCGGGAGAGCGGCGCAGACGCAGCCAAGCTCGCCGGAGGCCTCCTAGCACCGTTCCGCCGGACGCCGCGGCCGGCCAGCTCCGGGGGTCCTGGGCAGCTAGGACGCACCGTGTGGCTGCTGGAGGCTCCCCGCCGTCGTACATAACGTGCGGCTTGCACAGTTGCTGCTTGCGACGTGCAAATCCCGCGCGCGCGATCTCTGGCCCCTTTCCTCGAGAGCAAGTCCTGCGCGCGACAGGCGAGCTTCCCCGGGTCCCAGCCAATCCTTGAGGGGTTTGCAAAGCGAATGGTCTCTCCCCCCCCCCTCCAGCCGCGCCGCGTGGTTCTGCAGCCTCGGAAGGGGCCGGATCCGCTTAACGGTCAGGCGCCCTCCATAGCAGCCGGGGCTGGAACTGGTGACCTCCCTCCAGCCGAGCGTGGTGCCGGGGCGCTGGGCTCGCTTCGGTCTCCTCCCCGTTTCCAGGAGGGCTCTCTTCAAAAACTTCTTCCCCCCCCAGCCCAACGAGTGTAGGAAGCCCCGCTCAGGTCCGAAGGCAGGCGCCGGCGTGGCGGGCTGCATTGCCCCTTTAAGGCGCGGGGTCTGTCTGGGGACCCCCTCGAGCCGCCAGGTAAGGACCGGCTCCGGGGAGGACCGCAGGGAGGGGGCGGGCTGGTGGTGCTGTCAGCAGCGGCACCTCGCTCGGACTCCGGCAGCTCCCCCCGGGTGATCTCGAGATTCGCTGAGCAAAGCAGCGGGGAAGCCCCTGGGTCAAGATAATCGGCAGATTAACCCGGGATTAACCTTCTTAAATGCTGAACAACCTCTCGAGGAAGGCGGTCACTGGGGTGTGTGTGCGCGCGCGTGGAGATTCCCGAGTTAAACCGAGAGGGAGATGCAAGGTGGGGAGCAGAGAGAGAGAGAAGGTAGACCCAGCAAAAGACAACCCCCCCTTTCAATAGGACTCCCATCAGCTCCTTGTCTCGCACCTCTCCGAAATGCACAAACTTTATTACCTGTTCTAGAACCCCTAAACTCTGGGGAGGGGCAGCTCCCCCACCGCAGCCCCTTAGGAAAGTATCTCTGTTCCGAGATGCTGCGACATTGCCCATGGCTCATGTCTTGCTGGTGGGGGGGGAGGGGGGAGAGCAGGTTGCCTTTTCCAGCGGAGGGTGCAGCTCTGGAACACCTCCCGCCGCGATGGGTCCTCCTTCCGCCAGCTGGAGGAAAACCCTATTCTGGGTCCTCGTCTCTAAACTCAGAAGTAAGAGCATCGCAGACTTAGCAGGAGAGACCTCCATGGATGGAGGGGGTAGAGAGGGGAGCTCCCTGCCAGCAGCGCAAGGGTTAACTGCCCTCACTCAATAGGGCTTTATTTTTAAAAGAAATTTATCAGATTTTTACAGGGGGACCGAGAAAGGGTTCTCCCTTTTCCACAAGGCTCCATCCAAACAGAGTCCTGGGCTAAAAATACAAAAAATTTTGTATAAATTGGACTCCGGCTCGAAAACTCTCGCCACATAAAGGCGGCCTTTGTACAGTGATGGAAATGTTGTACAAATAACCCTTTATTAATGCCACAAAAAGTACTTTAATTATATTTACGCAGATCAAGAAACAGGGTCACCTGAACATCTGAACTTCACAACTGTGCTTTTGTTTAAAAACACACACGCACACACGGGCGCCCCCCTCCGCCGCCCCCCCCCCACCTGCCCCCCAAAGGCTCCGCCACCCTCTTCGCTTAGAGACCCTGCAGCGGCTCGGGGGAGAGCCGCAGAGCTGGATTTAAAGGGGCAGATGCCTTTGCACAGTTTCTCCGAAATTTTATAGGGCACGTAAACCCCCTAAAAAACCTGATGCTGGTATTGGAGGTGGGGGAGGTAGCAGAGGTGTGTGTAGGATGTGTGAGGGGTGGGGAGAAGGCAGGGGAGGGGTGCTCAGGTCGCCTTTCCTTGCTGTCACGCCCCCTCCCCTGCTAAGGACCGGACCGGCATGTGGGAAAGTTATTAAAAGTCCCAAACTCTGTCCAACGACTTAGTCAAGGATAATTGCAGTGCGTTAAGGCAGTCGGTCCGCACCCCACCCCCGCCCCGAAAAACGCACATGACTGAAGAAGCTTTATGGGGCTGGAAGCAAAGGGGAGAGGGGCGGTTGTGGAGTGGGGGGAGCCGGCTCTCTTATCCTTGTTAATTTGGGATAAGGGTGTGCGTAAAAGCTGGGGGAATTAAGTCAGCTCAGACGCGCTCTGTGCGTTCATCCCACCAGCTGCCTGAATGAAAGGAACCCACCAATATTTGGGGGAGCCAAAACTCCCATGCGCTGGATCCTTCCCCTTCCAACCCTAAGAGGGCAAGGCAAAGGAGAGGGCAGGATCCCCGGTTTCCACTGGCCATTAGCCAGACTCTGGAGTAGCCACAACCGCGAGAACCCTCCCAAGCTGTGTGTGACATCTGCACCTTGCATCTGACCCACATAAAATCACCTCCACTGCACGCTTGAGGCACATGATTCCTCCCAAAGAATCCTGGGAACTCTAGTTTGCTAAGGGTGCTGGGAAGGTCCACTGGGTGCACTTCACCTCAGATGTAACTGCCTCGTGATTGAAGGGCCTTTGTCGAGGTTCATGGTGAACCCCAAGTCTTCTTTTCAGGGCTTACGAGGTCAGAATGTACACCTGAGCATGTGCAGAGAGCCCGCGAGCAATTGCAATGACCATCCCTCATAGCTTTGGTTGGGACAGGTCTTCCCGGTCAGGCGAGAGCCCCAGAATTAAACACAGCTCATTAGCGCTAATTATCAAGCCGTTGCATCATTTGTGTTCCTCACAACCATCCGGATAATGTCGAGACAGCCTTGTGCCCATAGAAGGGATGAGGAATGGTGGTCTGTCAGTTGCAGCCCTTGGTGGGCTCAGGGGTGCCCTGTCCCTGTGGGACTTTCCTCGTGCTCAAGTTACAAGAAAGGAGAATCCAACGATTCTCCTTCCTTGGAGACTTTCAAGCAGAGGTTGGGTGGCCACTTGTATTGGATGTGAGATTCCTGCATTGCAGGGGTTGGACTGGATGACCCTCAGGGTCCCTTCCAACTCTACTACCACCTTATGCTTCTAGAGAACTGGTAGATGAGAGACAATGTTGCAGCATCCTCCCTCCCCAATCCCATCTGCTGGTGCCCCCACATCTTTGGAAGGGGTGTACGTGTTCATTTGCGACACGTAACTTGGCTTACTTCCTGAAGCCATCTGCTCAGGCTTCCATCTGCAGGAGCTCTGCTGGATCTAGAAGATGTTTGTGGGCTTGACCAAGGAAGAGGGCAGAGGAGCTGAGGAAGGGCTGAACTTTGATCTCCTCTGCCCAAGTTCACCGAGCTACAGGGGAGGAGGGGAGCCTCACCCGGGGTTGTGGACCCAACCCCTGCCCCTCTCGCCTGCTCTGCAATCTGGGCCCTGCAGGATACATTTCAGCAGGGCTGCAGTTCGCACTTTCTCCCCTAGACCAGGGCCACCGTTCACCCCCATTTCCCAAGCATCGTCCACTGATAATATTTCCAATGCTCCACCTGTCATTCATTTAGAAATGTTCCGGTTTGGGAATCTGTGAATGGAGGATTCCTGTTCACAGCCTCACATTCTCTGTTCCCCTCTAATGTCAACCCTTAGCATTTACATTGCCAGCCAGTTTTTAAAAGACCCTCCACCCCCACCCACTGGTGTGGGGTAGAGATGCAAACACAGCAGATCCAGGTGACTTTGCAGGTGCAGCTAAGGTGAGGCTCAGGGTCACTCCTCAGCATCCCCAGCAGGCACAAGGGCGGAGAGAGAGACCCTCGTCTGAAATCCCAGAGAGCTGTTGCCAGTCAGTGTAGGTAATAGTGCGCTAGATGGACTAGGTATACGGCAGCTTCTTTTTCCTTTCCCCCAAAGTTTAGCCATTTTAAAAGACATGACACTAAAGAAAAAAGGGCTGGGGAGGGAAAAGGAAAACAAGGCGGCCCAGAATTCTTAGTGCTAGAATATTCTTATATTCCTGCTTCTTAGCCCCCTGCTCAGGAAGAAGGCTGGGGTATTGACCTTTGTGATCGGAAGAGCCTCTCCCCAAATTTGATTATACCCTGCACGTAAATGCTCCTTGAAATTATGGACCCACTCATGCAAGGTTGTTGAAGGAGGGTGGCATGAATTGAATGCCCCCACCCCATGCTTAAACTCCCAAAGGAAGGCAAGGACATGATCTGAGCCAGCCAGAAAGCCACACTCTACACCAGAGCCTTTCTCCCCAATTCTCTCTGTGTTGTAATGCAACAAAGAAAAGGCGCTCTGCATATGTTCAAAGATGCTTTATAACCCCACATATTGTGAGTCTGGGCTGGGTGCTCTGGGGAGCTGCGGCTTAGGCAGGCTCACGGTGTGCTCACAGAGCTGAGATGAGCGGGGAGGCAGAGTGCTTTTCAAATATCTGGGGATGGCGGTGATAAATTGGATGTCTCTGGTGTCGAGAGGGACCTCAGAACTGGAAGCGGGTTTCTCCCAACTTAGGAGGGTTTTCCCGGTTG